CACGCACGCGCACACGCACACACGCGCACACGCACACGCCGCACACGCGGCACACGCGCACACGCGCACACGCGCACACGCGCACACGCGCACGCGCGCACACGCGCACACGCGCACGCGCGCACGCGCGCACACGCGCACACGCGCACACGCGCACACGCGCACACGCGCACACGCGCACACACGCGCACACGCGCACACGCGCACACGCGCACACGCGCACACGCGCACACGCGCACGCGCACACGCGCACACGCGCACACGCGCACACGCGCACACGCGCACACGCGCACACGCGCACACGCGCACACGCGCACACGCGCACACGCGCACACGCGCACACGCGCACCACGCGCACACGCGCACACGCGCACACGCGCACACGCGCACACGCGCACACGCGCACACGCGCACACGCGCACACGCGCACACGCGCACACGCGCACACGCGCACACGCGCACACGCGCACACGCGCACACGCGCACACGCGCACACGCGCACGCGCGCACACGCGCACACGCGCACACGCGCACACGCGCACACGCGCACACGCGCACACGCGCACACGCGCACACGCGCACACGCGCACACGCGCACACGCGCCACGCGCACACGCGCACACACGCGCACACGCGCACACGCGCACACGCGCACACGCGCACACGCGCACACGCGCACACGCGCACACGCGCACACGCGCACACGCGCACACACGCACACACGCACACACGCACACACGCACACACGCACACACAGCACACACGCACACACGCACACACGCACACACGCACACACGCACACACACGCACACACGCACACACACGCACACACACGCACACACACAACCACACACAAACACCACACAAACACACACAAACACACACAAACACACACACCACACACAAACACACACACACACAAACACACACAAACACACACAAACACACACACACACACGTTGACACTCACTCACACGCACCCGCGCACACACGCACACGCGCACACACGCACACGCACCCACACGCACACACATACACAAACACGCACGCACGCCCGCACGCTCACGCGCACACACGCACACACGCACCCACGCACACACGCACATGCGCACACGCACACACGCACACACGCACACACGCACACACGCACACACGCACACACGCAAACACACGCACAAACGCACACACGCGCATACACACGCATACACACGCACACACGCACACACGCACAACAAGCACACCCGAACACACGAACACACACACACACACACGCACACACACAGACACACACACACACACACACACCACACCACACAATACAACACAACATAACGCAACACAACATAAGATAACACAACACAACACAACACAACACAACACAACACAACACTGCACAACACAACACAACGCAGCACAGCACATCGCATCACAACAGCTCACAACACAACACGCACGCACGCACGCAAGCACGCACACACGCACACACGCACACACGCACACACGCACACACGCACACAGGAGGATGACATGAACCTATATGGGGAATGATATGCTTCATCAGCAATCAAATTCATATCAGTTCGAAGCCAATCGCAAACGCCCCCCGGATCAAATGAGTCAGCAGGCTGTCCTTGACCAGCACTGTCTCCATGGAGCCAGTTTTGCCCGTCGAGGGGCAGCGGTCTGAGACTTCCCACGTGCGACGCCGCGCTACTGGCCGCTGGGTAGTCGTGCGCCACTCGGTCCAACAGGTCATCCGTATTTCCCGTAATCCGGTCCAGCTGTTTCATGGCATGCCCCACTTCTTGCACTAGGCAAGTACCTATGGGCTCGACAATTGCGCCGGCAAGGCTTAGCATCGGATGGATCTGAATTGAAATGTACGAAACGCGATTCTCAGCCTTGAAGGCTCCCAGCTGCGACTTGTGCAATCCTATGTGTACGCATATATGGTCCTTCTTCGTGATCTGCCGTGCAGTGCAAGCGTGGTCGAACAAACCGATCACTTCAGATTATGTTCTGTTCTGTGCGTCTGATTCAAGGCGCTCGGCCAAGCTCATGATGTAATGTGCTGAGATGGTCGGCGACCATGCTTTGACCCAGTTCCTGCTCACAAGGGTGTCCTCGAGTTCCTTGTCGCAGTCGACGCACATGGTTGTAGTTCTGTCTGGGTTCAACCATGATGCTCCTGTCTTGCTCAAAGTATATGCGTTGTTTAGCTTCTGCTCGGGCAAAAATCTACTTTCCTAACCTCGCTGGAGAAGGTTACCAAACGGGTCGATGTACTGATTCGATGGGCACCTGGGCGTTTCAGGAGAAGATGCAGGTGCCGGAAACATCTCTTGAGGCGCTGCTTCCTGTGGAGCTGCCTGGAGGCGCAGGGCTGAAAGGGCGGAGGGGAGGATGTTGAGTTGGTGAGGAGGAGGAGGAAGAGGAGGAGGGGGAGGAGGAGGAGGAGGAGGAGGAGGAGGAGGAGGAAGAGGAGGAGGAGCCAGTAGTTCATGAAACGAACTCGAGGTCAGAGCAGAGGGCGGATGCACTTCTTCTGTGTGCGGCCGCCCTGACGCGGGGCATGGGGCCGGGGCGCGCGAGGACCTGGCGAACGCGCTGGCCAGGGCCTGTTACGTGATCAACGCCGCGCCAGAGATGGCCGGCCGCTCGACGGCCGCAGATCGCTCGGGGGGGGCGCCGGTGGTTCGATCGGTCAAGTGCTGCACGCCTGAGGAGGGGAATGCACAGACACAAAGAATCGTCCAGGAAATATGGGAAGTGGAGGGGAAGTCGAGAATCCAGGAAATATGGGGAAATATGGGGGATCCTGGGATTTGTGTCGTGTCGGAAGCTGGAGCATGCGTATACAGTGCCAGTGGCGGGCTGTTTTTCAGTCTCCGGATTTTTTGAGGGTCAGGGACGACGTCGGGGTGGTGTGGTGTACACTGTTTTCCCCCTTCTCCCGGGGAAGCAACGGAACATGTATACACCAGGATCCCGTGCACACCAGGACCCGCCCTCCTGTGCGAGTTTCGGTGCAGGGCCAGAAGCAAGAGTCGGTGTATAGAGTCCGGCTCCTCACTGTGTGCCTGCTTCCTCGTGTGTGCGGCGCCGCTGCTGCCGCCCCGGCCCGCGAATGATGGAATCCTTCCGCCCCTGAGAGCGCCTCCTCCTCCCCTTCCGCCCGCGGCCCCTCTCTCCTCCTTCCGCTCTCTTGCGCGCCAGACACTTCGCTTCGTAGTGCCCCCTCGCTTCGCTCCTTCTCGCTGGTGCGGCTTGCCCCGCCCCGCCGCCGACGAAGCAGTTTGGTTGTGTGTCCCTGGGCCTCTTCAACTCAGGAGGAAAAGAAACACACAGACACAATGAATCCTCGATTCCCCCGAAAATGCAGGGAAATATGGGAAGTATGGGAAGTGGGGGGGAAGGCTATGGGGACTATCTTTATTTGTGTGTATTTATTTGTGTGTCCTGGGGCCTCTTCGTCAACGTCTGACGGCTGCATGCTTGTCCACGCGCCTCTCTTCCGTCCTGCCTGGCGCGTCGCGGCGGACCGCGCCGACCCTCCCGCTCTCAGAGCTCTCGGGGGCGGCAAAGAGGGGGGTGATGACAGGGGGGGGGATATCATGGCGGGGGCCATGATATTTCCCCAGATTTTATGGCGCCTCTTCTTATTTCATTACGTCCCTGGCCCCCCTGCTGGGCCGCGCACATGCCGCCGGGCATGATTTGCACCCCCCCCCCTCTTGGACACCCCCCTCTTGGCGGCTCCCGAAGCTCAGGAGCCTCCAGACGTTTCCCGGCAACCGCCTTGCGCCTCCCTGCAGGAGGCATCCAAAGGCCTTCCTCTCGGGGCGATCGAAATCCGAGTGGGAAACGGCAGGGCTGCTTTTCACCGTGTCCGAAGAAGTGTCTCTTGGAAATGGACGCGGCAAAAAAACGGCGACTGGAAACGGCAAAAAACGGCTCCAGGATTGGAGCTGGTGCCGGAACCGGTAAAACAACGGCGACGGAACCGGTCAAAAACGACGTCGGAACCGGCAAAAGAACGGCAAAACGGAACCGGAAAAAAACGGCCTTGTCGTTTCCAGGGCCCATTAAGATCGAAATGGGTTCGCAAAGAATGGGTACAAAGATCGACAGCATGTCCTGTTCATTTTGAACAGGATTCGCTGTGGGCGTCGACGCGGACGTTGTCCATTTGATGCAGAAGACCGCCTGCCCAATAGCGGCCGCTGTTTGTGTTTGACAACATTCGTTAGTGGGCATCGTGCCTATTTTTTCGTGCCCATTTTTGGCGTCCAACTTGTCAGGGAAGCGGATTCGGGGTAATAGCAGACGGGGTAACATCAAACGGCCGGTGCGAGGCAACAAAACCCCACCTTGTTGCGGTGCAGCTTTTTCGGCTTTCGCGTTCAATGCAGCACCTGTCACATATTGTCTGCGCTGGAAGTTTTCGGCTGCTGCATAACTTCTTGTTCTGGGCCCTCTGCCACCGGGCCTGTGGGGCTCGTTTGCAGTTGCCCGCAACTCGTTGCAGACACACTTTCCTCGCAGGTTGTTGTTCCAATCGCTGCAATCTCTCCGTCTGGATCCCTATGGTGGGTTTGTTACCCCGTTCAGGTATTACAGTCGGGGTCCTGAAGAAGGAACCCTTTTCGTTGGGGAGGGGCTCCGCGTTCCTTAAGTGCTTCGCAGCTTGCCTCGGGCTTTCCTTGGGTCTTCGACAGGAAATCCAAGGTTATTTTATGGAAACAAGGGGCCTCGTTCCTTATTTAGGGTTCCTTAGGTCAACGCCCCGACTGTACTGTGTTTAGTCTTCCCTGACTCCCAGGGCCCATTCTGCTCCGACCGATCCGATTCGGCCCGCTTCGAGTCGGTTCCGCTTGTCGGGCGATCCGACGCGGCCCGACGCTTGCATGACGCTGCTATGCATGCTGGCGCCTCCGACCCCGAGCCGGTGCGGCCCGATCCGAGACTCGCTCCGATCCGATCCGATGCTCCGCTTCGATGCTCAGGGCCATCCACAGGCGAGGGGTCTCCTGGGGTTCGCCAGGTGCTTCAATAGGGGAACAAAAAGTGACATAAACATAAAACATCGGAGGTCCGCGCGGATTTCTCGGATCCGCGCTGGACCCCCCTCCCTGGCGCGCGGAGCGCGCCACGGGCGGCGCCGGAGGCGCCGCCGGGGGGCCCTATGGCGCCGATCCGAGAAATCCGCGCGGACCTCCGAGTTTTTCTGTTTCTGTCTTTTTTTGTTCCCCTATTCAACGGCGCCTCTGGTGGCACCCAGGCGGTTCCCAAAGGCCTCGACGAGGGGGCTCGCGCGGCGGTCTGCAGGGGCTCTCCCCCGGGGGCCTCGAGGGGCTCTCCGTGGGCGCCCCAGTGGGACACCGAGAGGCCTCCTGGGAGCCATCGGGGGGAGGAGGAGGAGGAGGAGGAGGAGGAGGAGGAGGAGGAGGAGGAGGAGGAGGAGGAGGAGGAGGAGGAGGAGGAGGAGGAGGAGGAGCTCCTGTCAGGGCCCCGATGCTTTGCGGCGGGCTCTCAGAGGCTTCCAGCGAGCCTCCAGGAGCCTCCTCGGGCCTGCAGGCGTCCCCATCTCATGTCGGCACACCCTTTGCTACACTTGTCGTGGCCCCAGGAGCAGATTCTCCGACGGCGATGCCCACAGCGGCGGTACCCACAACTGCATATATGGTTGAGCCCTTCGCCAGGATATTTTTTGTGGGATCGGGGCACGGGCTCCCTTTGTGCTTTTTGCTTGCATGCCCACGCGGGCGCGAGCTTCCCTACTCCTAGCCGTTCCGTCCGCAGGGATGGCATCCCTTCGTGCTTTCAGCCTCCCCGTGGCAGTATCAGTACGTTTTTGCCCCCCCCCCCCCCACACCACCCCCGTTGCATGGACCTTTTGATTCGCGGGTCAAAAGCGCACCTCTTCCGGTCGAAGCTAAGCGGGCCGAGCGAAGCTTGAATTGACATGAGGGGGAGGACAGGGGGAGGGCGCAGCCTCAGAGCGAGGCCAGGGGGGCAAGGCCTCGGGATCCGGCGGTGCCAACCCGTTGCATGCACAGGCAAGCACATGATCGAGCATGCAGGCTTGCCCCTTGCGCCTCGCGGCAGGCCCTGTTTCCCGCGCAGCCCTGCAGCAGCCTACAGTCGGGGCCCTGAAGAAGGAACCCTTTTCGTTGGGGAGGGGCTCCGTGTTCCTTAAGTGTTTCGCAGCTTGCCTCGGGTTTTCCTCAGGTTTTCGACAGGAGATCGAAGGTTAACTCATGGAAAATAGGGGCCTCGTTCCTTATTTAGGGTTCCTGAGGTCAGCGCCCCGACGGTATTGCCGCGGCGGTGGCCTTGTGTTCGGACGGCGCGCGCGCCTCCGCTGCCCACACCATACCGCCGTTGCGATGGTGCCGCCCCCCTTGGTCGCGCCCACCGTCGCAGTCCTCTGGTGGCAGCGGCGGCGCCGTGTGGCGCATGGCCGACGCGTTTTTTCTGCCTGGCATCTTGTCGCCTCTCCTCTGCACGTCCCCGTAGACTTGACCAGCCTGGAACATATCCCTATCCCTATGCTGGGCACCTCCTCATCACGATGCCGATCTCAGGGGTTCCCTTGTTTTTTGAGGGCGGATCCCTAAGATTGTCATCGCCTTTGGGCGTGTCAATCTTAGGGATAGGGATACTTTCTACTGGCAAAGACTGCTGCTAGTCTTGGGAGGTTACATTCAGCATCGGCGCGAGCATAGGTATCTGTGGTCGAAGACCGGCCCAATCCCCGCCCACTCCCGCCAAGTCCTGTTTGATCCCGCTCAATCCTCGGCTTCATGTTGGTGGGCTTCATGCTCGGCCCAGTCCTGGGCTCAATCCTCAGCTTACTCTGGGTAATTCGACCCAGTGGCTCCTCAATTCGGTGTGGGAAAAAGCACACAACAATACATACAACAACACACACGTTCTTTTTTGTGTGTGTGTTTTTGTGTTTTTTGTGTGTTTGTGTTTGTGTGTGTGTGTGTTTTGTGTGCTTCTTCCAATAGCTTGAAATCGATCCTACGAAGGCCTCCCAGTAGTTGCCTCCTGAGCTCTCGCCTCCGTCTTATGCTCGAGGGTTTGCGTCCTCCGGTCCGCCTGCGGTCCCCCTTCTTCCGCCTGCCCCCAGCTTGCCGAGGCGCGTGAGCTCTTTGCTGGAAGTAATCGAGCAGGCATGCATGCTTGGACATCGGGGCATCAATCTGAAGCTTGCCTCGGTCGAGCAACCCTGGGCAACCGCTGCTGAATAGCACTTCGTGTAACTGCAGGCGCCCGTGCCACTGGTTCCAGACGCCTCTGAACATTCTCTCGCCATGATGGGATCAACAGCATCTTGTTGTGATTAACCTATTTGCAGTCTGCCTATGCCGCAAGACTCCTGTGTTGACATTCGTGCTCGGTCAGAAGCGTGCGTTTTGTGTTGCTAGTGTCATGCTAAGGACTACGTCACGCTCGGTAACATCTTCAAAGGACGCTGCGCCCACCTGCACTGCAAGGAAGTAGTACGGGATACTATACAACGCAGGAGTGTCAGTCCATTAGCAGTCACACGTGCAGGAAGAGTAATGAAGGCCGCGACCAAGGCATTGGCGGCAGAAAGAGCAGACTGCATGTTTGGCCCCTTGAAGAAAGCATCTAGCAACAACCATTCTGTCGATTTCGAGCTCAGCCCGAGTATTTGTGACCAGGTGCCATGATGCCACGTTAGCGTTGTCCCCCAGCTCACTGCCTAGTTTCTACCCCTGGCGCCATGGACCGAGGGGGGTTCCTCGACGATGTGGGTCGAGGAGAGGGAGATGGGAACGAGTGCCACCAGGCAGCCTCAGTATATTAATCAGTCGTTCCAGGGCGCTACCAAAGCGTACCAGATCAGTCTGGAGCGCCAGTGTTGTCCAATACATCTTGTGCATCCGCTGGATCTCAGAGATCCCTGTGCTTGTCCTGCCGATGTTGTTAGTATCTTGCCCTCGTCTTAGGATCGCTCGCCCATTCATTCCATCAACGCCTCGGCGCCATTCGCTTGTGCGTGTGCCAGCATGGGGACGTGCGTAAGAGGAGGAGCAAGAGGAGGATGCAGACGAGGAGGATGGGGAGGAAGAGCACCAGACGGAGGTGGAGGAGATGGATGAGCTGGGCCGGAACTCGTGATTGCTTACGCTTTGTACGAGCCCGTCCAGAATTCGGATTACGTTTTTCATGGGATGCCTGCGTCGGGAGCTCGCGCCAAGTTTCCGAGTGGGTTGTTTCATTATCCTGACGGTCTGTCAGGCCAACCCGCGTCCCCCTAATTCGTGTGTCTTACGTTTCCCCACAGGAGGGGGAGCAGCACACACATGCTCAGAGATGCACCCTGGCCTACGGCCGCACTGCGCTGCGCAGCGTGCCCTTGCGAGAGGCCTCGCGGCCAGCGGCTCCTGGGGCTGCTTCGACGAGTTCAACCGCCTCGTGCCCGAGGTGCTCTCGGTCTGCACCGTGCAGTTCAAGGCACCTTCCTGGCTCTCTCCCCCCGCTCCTCCCCCCCCTCCAGGCGCTCCCTTGAGTGCGGGCGTCGTGGCCAGGCCTCGGTGGGCTCTTCTGCACCGCCTCGGGCCGCGTGGTCCTCACAGATAGATCCGACTCGGCAGACGCCGCGCACAGAGGAGGAGGAGGAGGAGGAGGAGGAGGAGGAGGAGGAGGAGGAGGAGGAGGAGGAGGAGGAGGAGGAAGAGGAGGATGAGGAGGAGGAGGAGGAGGAGTGGCTTCTAGATTTCACGAGCAGGGCTCCCGACCCGCCTCGCACACCCGGCATGCCGCGGCCGCCGGGCACCCAAAGTGGCCTGGTGCTCCCTAGGTCTCCCGCCTCGCGCTTTCGGGTGGGGATCGCTCGAAACAGCATCCTTTATCTCCTGTGTTCGGCGTCGTGTGCGCGTTTCTGCGCGTCCTCGTTGCCCTCCTCCTCCTCCTGCTCCTCCTCCTTCTGCTCCTCCTCCTCCTCCTCCTTCTGCTCCCCTCCCTGCTGCCCACCGCGTGCGGGTACCTTCGCTTTGCGGAGCATCGCAGCCACCAGGATCGGTCACCTGGAGGTCACCGGGCCCAGGTCCTCCTCTTCTCGTTCAATGCGACGCGCCTCACAGAGGCCCCAGCAGCCTGTCCAGGTGGCGCAGAGGAGGTCTCCTCTAGACCGTACCTTCAACATCAAGTGTTACTGATGTCTCCAGCGCCCCGCGGCGGCGGGCCGTAGTTACATGCGCTCGTGAAGCTGCGGGCGCTTTTCCTCCCTCTCTGTCGCGAGCTCTTCGTGCTTTTCGCGTGCCTCGGTCGCCTTCTGGCGCAAGGCAGGGCCTTTCGCTTTCCGGCGGGTCGGAATCCGGGCCTCTCGCACGGTGTCCGAGCAGATGGGGTCGGAGGATCGCCCTGCATCGCGATGCGGCCCGATGGCGAGCCCGACTCTCTCCACGCCGACGGCGCCGATGCATCGCCGATGCATCGGCGATGCATCGGCGATGCATCGGCGATGCATCGGCGATGCGGCGCGATCCTCCGCCTCATCTGATCGCACCCAAGTTGAGAGTCCTCTAAGGAGGCCGCAACTGTTCCCGCGTCTGGTCGAGCCCCGGCGGCAGCAGCCCTCTCGTTGTTGAGTGTTGCAGCGCTGGTGCGGGAGACCCGCGGCGCCGTTGCCGTCTGCTCTTCCTCCTCCCCGGATGGGGGCCGCCGCCGCCGACGACGACGACCACGACGACGACGGCGACGACGCCATGAATCTTGCCCGTTCGGGCAACACGTATGCACATGTCCACTGCATCTCGGATTTTCGGATCCCTGTCCTCAGAAGCCGAAGCGCAGCTGATATGGGTACACTCTGGCCTCGATCAGGGCCAGATGCTCGGCAATACCTGCGCCTCGGATTTTCGGCATCCCTTGCTCAAGAAGCCAGCCGCCAGGACGATGACGACCCAGACCGTCAACGTCTTGAATCTGGGCCTCCTAGATGGGGTCCGAGCAGATGGGGTCGGAGGATCGCGCCGCATCGCCGATGCATCGACGATGCGGCTCGATGCGGAGCCTGATCTGCTGCACGCCGACGTGGCCAATGCACCGCCGGTGCATCGCCGGTGCACCGGCGATGCATCGGCGAGGCGGCGCGACCCTTGCGCCCCATCTGCTCGGGCCCCATCTGGGAGGCCTCGATTGAAACCGCCGGTGTATCGCCAGTGCATCGCCGGTGCACCGGCGATGCATCGGCGAGGCGGCGCGACCCTTCCGCCCCACCTGCTCGGGCCCCATCTAAGGAGGCCTCGATTGAAGCCGCTGGTGCATCGCCGGTGCATCGCCGGTGCACCGGCGATGCATCGGCGAGGCGGCGCGACCCTTCCGCCCCATCTGCTCGGGCCCCATCTAAGGAGGCCTCCATGGAAGCAAATACGCACGCAGACGGGACCCAGTGGTGTGGGCCTCGGAGGGCCCTCGCCGCGCCCCCGAAGGCCGTCCACGAGAGTCGTCCGGGCGAAGCACTGCGCCCGTGGGGAGACCAGCCTCCTCCTCCTCCTCCTCCTCCTCTTTTTCCCTCCTCCTCCTCTTTCTCCCTCCTCCTCCTCCTCCTCCTCCTCCTCCTCCTCCTCCTCCTCCTCCTCCTCCTCTCCTCCTCCTCCTCTCCTCCTCCTCCTCCTCCTCCTCCTCCTCCTCCTCCTCCTCCTCCTCCTCCTCCTCCTCTTTCTCCCTCCTCCTCCCGTGGGAAGCCCCGACGGGATCGGGGCTTCGGGGGGCCCGCGTCCGGGAGGCCGGGCTGCTCCGCAGGTGGGTGGAGACCCTCGTGCTGCCGGGTCGGGCGGGTGATGGTGGGGGGTGGTCCAGGCATCGGCGGCGAGCGAGGGGGGGACGCGAGGAGGAGAGGGCCTCCTCGGAATGGCGGTGGGCCTGCCTTCTCAGAAGCCCCCGCGCCTTCCGAGAGGTTTTTTTTCTGTTTTCGGGGAAGGCTTGGGAAGCTCCTCAGGAGGCTGGGGGACTTCCGAGCCTTCTGAGGAGGCCTTCTCCCTCTCACTTCCCCCCCTCGCTCGCCGCCGAAGATAGGGGGTGAAGCAGAGGACCCCTAAAGGGGGCCTCTGGGGGCCCCTTTCGGGCCCCTTTTTCTGCACCGCCCCCTTCGGGTCACCGCCCACTGCCACTCCCCCGAAGTCGGGGGTGGACAGACCTCCTACCCTGACACGTCGATTGAGGAATTGGCCGTTTTCGGTTCGCGAGAGGGCGTCGCGGCCGCCGTTTTTGCGGGTCCAGGTCCGTCGGTTCTGGTCCCAGGCCGTTTTCACTAAGGGGAGGTGTGCTAAAGGGAGGTTTGTCCACCGCCGACGAAGGCTGATCGAGACCCCCATCCTTCAGGAGGATAAACAAAACACAGACACAATTAATCGTCGAGTCCCCAGAACATCTGGGAAAATACGGGCAGTGGGGGGGAAGACGAAAACCACCAAAATATGTGAAACTATGGGGGATCCTGTGATTTGTGTGTATTTGTGTGTGTGTGTGTGTCCTGGGGCCCCTTCAATCGAGTTGGTTTTCTTTTCGGCGCACGAGGGCGGGCTGCGCCTGCCTTTGATGTGGCATCCTCGGGGGACCTCGCCTGTCCCCCCAACTCAGAGCCGCTGCTCGTGCCCGGCGCTGCGCCCCGCAGCGGACTCGGCGCGGATATTTTGGCGTGGCTTCGGCGCGGACTCGACACGGTTTCGACACGGATCCGACGAGTCCGACAGGGACTCGACACGGACCTGATGCGGAGAGGGCCGCGACGGGACAGGCCAGGTCCCCCGAGGATGCATCGGGGTTGGACAGACCTCCTACCCTGACACGTCGATTGAGGAATTGGCCGTTTTCGGTCCGCGAGAGGACGTCGCGGCCGTCATTTTTGCGGGTCCAGGTCCGTCGGTTTCAGTCCCAGGCCGTTTTCACTAAGGGGAGGTTTACTACAGGGAGGTTTGTCCCCCGAGGATGCAGCGTACACATGATTGTTGCATGCCTGCGCCTGCCAGGTCTGGCCCTGGGTCGCTGTTGCCAGACCACGGGACGTGAAAACGACCACAGCCACTGCTCTTCTTTCGTTGCCGCCTTCCAGCCAGCAGAAGCAAAGCAGTGGCTGTGGTCATTTTCGTGGAGCTTGGCACCCGGGAAATGACCACAGCCACTGCTTCTTTTTCGGCTGGCTGCAAGGCGGCAACAAAAGAAAAGCAGTGGCTGTGGTCGTTTTCACGTCCCGTAGTCTGGCAACCACGACCCAGGGCCGGACCTGGCAGGAGCAGGCATGCAACAAACGCGTGTACGCTGCATCCACGGGGGACCTGGTCTGTCCCGTCGCGGCCCTCTCCGCGTCAGGTCCGTGTCCCGTCCCGCACGGACGGAGGGTTCTGCTGCAGGGGGCCCTGTGCTGCCCCCCGGGCACCGTGCTGCCACGGGTGCGGACGGAGCTGCCCCCGCCACGGCGCCCTCCACGCTGCGAGGCCGAGGCCTCGCACGCCCTCTGCGCAGCGCCTGCTCTTAACCCTGGGGCTCAGCGGCCCGACTCCGCGGCGCACCGCCGGGAGTCCACGCTCACCCTCTCCTCCCCCATTTCCCTGGTCTTGGCATCGCTCGGACGTGTGCATGTTTCCTTCGGCGAGGACCATCGAGGAGCATCCTTGATCATTTGCCGAAAAACCACGCACGAAACCGAACAAAAACACAGGGAATGGACGTCCGAGCGATGGCGAGTGGTCCTCCTCCCGGAATCGCGCCCCCCACAGGGAACTCCACCGACGGCGCCAGAGGCAGGGCTGGCACAGCGGCTCCCGCGCACTGCAGCGCACCCCTCCCGCGGATCGCGACCCCACGGTGGAGCTTTGCAACGAGGGCCCCAGGCGCAGGTTACCAGCCTGGAACATATCCCTATCCCTATGCTGGGCACCTCCTCATCACGATGCCAATCTTAGGGATTCCCTTATTTTTTGAGGGCGAATCCCTAAGATTGTCATCGCCTTTTGGCGTGTCAATCTTAGGGATAGGGATACGTTCGAGGCTGGTAAGCAGGGTTCTCGTGGCGCCCCCCCGCCCATGTCGGAACGCACCCCGCACGAGTCTCGTCCCGCAGAGAGAGCTTCACCTGCGTCCTCGGTGGGCGCACTCGCGCAGGGGCCGCGAAGACAGCAGTTCTACCTGTGAGTCACCAGCCTCGAACCTATCCCTATCCTTGAGATTGATACGCTAAAAGGAGATGACAATCTTAGGGATACACCCTCAGCAACAGAGGAAACCCCTAAGATCGCCATCGTGATGAGGCGACGCCCAACATAGGGATAGGGATACGTTCCAGGCTGGTAAGTGAGGCCCCGGCAATCCAGGCACGACCAGGCCCGTGCTAACACCTGGGGTCGGCTCCCCCGTGAGAGGCCAAGGGGCCATGCTCGCTAAATCGTGGTGGTTGCGGGGTGACAGAGACGCGCCTGCCCCGCCAAAGCTCCCACTCTGCAGGAGGGAACCCGACACTCTGGGCGCGGACAGGCCCGCTGTAACACCCGGGTCGGCTCCCCATCGGGAGGCCCGCGTGCCATGCCTGCTGCATCGCGGTGAGCAAGGCGCTCCTGAAAGAGACATCTCCCCCCACCGGAGACAGCAGTGAGACTTGAGAAGTGCCGACGATCTGGGCGCGAACGGGCCTGTGAGAGCAGCCTGGTCGGCCTTCCCTTGGGGGGGCCCACGCGCCATGCCTGCCACGTCGCGGTGATCTTGGGGCTTTGAAGAGGGACACGTGTACGTCGCCCAAGCGGCCATTCGATTCGAGAGGGCCCGACAATTTCAGCACGAACGGGCCCGTGAGAACAGCCTAGTCGGCCTTCCCTTCGGGTTGCCTTTGCGCCATGCCTGCTACATCGCGGAGATCATGGAGCTCCGAAAAGAGATGCGTCTACTCTGCCAAGGCGACCGTTCTGCGTGAAGGACCCGGCATTCTGGGCGTGGACGTGCCCATGAGAACACCGGGGTCGGCTCCCTCCTTGGGAGGCCCACGCGCCATGCCTGCTGCGTCGCGGTGGCCATGGGGCTCTAGAAGGGGACGTCTACCCGGCACCACAGCTTCGATGTGAGAGGTCCGGGCAACTTGGACGCGAAGGGGCCCGTGAGAACAGCCCGGTCGCCTCTTGCTTCCCAGACCCCCGACGTCATGATTTTTTCATGACGTCGACCCCCCGAGGTCTCGACCCATTCCCCGGGACCAGTTTTTCGTCCTGAGTCGTTTTTTGACGGTCCCGAGGGCCGGTAAGGGCCCCCAAAGGCCAAAAATAGTGAAAAACTTCCCGTCGTGATTTTTTCATAACTCGAGGGGGTCTGGGTTGGGGGGTCCACAGGTGTCGTGCCTGCCACCATCGCGGTGCTCTCGGGGCCTCGCGAGGAGAGCCGCGCCGGCCCCGCGAAAAGCGCCCCCTCTGCGCGAGGAGGGGTGCCCGACACGCTCGGGGCGCGGGCGGGCCCATCGGTGACGCCCGGGGGTCGGCTCCCTCTTTGGGGGGCCCGCGTGCCATGCCTGCCATGGAGGCATCGTGCCCTCGTCGTCGTCGTCGATATCGTCGTCGTCGTCGTCGTCGTCGTCGTCGACGTCGTCGTCGTCGTCGTCGTCGTCGTCGTCGCTGGCCTCGTCGTCGCCGTGGCCACCTTCGTGGCCTTCGTCGCCTCCGTCTCCCCCCTGGGCGCGGCAGGCGCCCGCGCGGTGGCCCGCAGCTCCCGGAACGGAGGGCGGGGCTGTGAAGATCACCACCCACCAAACCACCCCAACCCAACCCGAAGGCTCAGATCTACCCTCGATTTCCAGTGGGGGGGGTCGGGAAACCTCGACGAAGCACATGTGGACCCCTTACCCCCCCCCCCCCCCAACTCGAAATTCGGGTCTTCGGGTTGGGTTGGGGTGGTCTGGTAGGTAGTCAGAAGAGAGAGACGTCTATCTCGCCCAAGCGACCCTTCGACCTGAGAGGTGCCGACAAGCTGGGCACGAACGGGCCTGTGAGATCAGCCTGGCCGGCCTTCCCCCCAGGGGGGCCCGAATGCCATGCCTGCGACATTGCGGTGATTCTGGGGCTCTGAAGAGAGCCACGTCTACCCCGCTAGAGCGCACATTTTCCGTGAGATGTCCCGACAAGCTTGGCGCGGACGGGCCCGTGACAACACACGGGTTGGCTCCTTCTTTTTGGGGACCCACATATGGAATATCTGTTATTTCGTGCATGGGACTCTGAGTAGTTGGTCCCAGCATGCGGAGTCTGAGGATGAGCATGTGAGTGAAACAGTCAGAGTGTGAGTAAGTCTTACTATGGGGCCGTCTGAGGACGAGTGGACAAAGCATGAATGAGTCTGAGGGCACGTGAGTCTGAACATGAGTGGGCCTGGAAATGAACGCCCCGAGTATGAGGTTATCTGAGCACGAGTGGATATGAATATGAGTGGGTCTGAGTGCAACCGGGTCGTAGAATAATTGCGATTTTGTGTGAGTGGATCAAGGTGTGATGTGGTCTGGGTATGAGGTGGTCCGAGTCTGAGCGGGCCTGAGTGTGAGTGAGTCTGAAAATGAGTGAGTCCGAGTATAGTGGGTTTGAGTGTGAGTGGTTGCGTACGAATGGGCCTGGGTGGAGATGGGTGGGTCAGGCGACGGAGGCGTGACACAGAGAACAACGTTACCATACCGAGGATACTGCGATCGAGGGAGAGATTCAGCTCTGGTGCAATCACACCGCCCCAAAGCAGTTGGTCAATGGCTCCCAGAGGCGTTCATACGTCCCGCCGTGTTAGGGGTGTCCTGGGGTCGTACAGGGGCCATCTCGAGATCATCTCCGGATCTGAGCTGCCCTGATACGTTCGCTTTGAACCGTAACACGCACGGTGCTCAACACGTCGGCGACTTCTGTTGTCGCCACGTTTTGGCGAATCTATCGCGCCAGGGCTACGTCTTCAGTCTGCGCGTTGAGCCCCAGGTCGACATGCCGCGGGTTGCGCGTGGCGTTCCGGGGTGGCGAAGGCTCCGGCTCAGATGGGGATCGCGCGCTTGCTCTCAACCAGTGTTCAAAATTCCTTGGGGTCGCTCGGGAGCCGTCGTGCGCCAAGTTTGGGCCACCACGGGGTCACTCGCAGCTCATAATCTGGGCAATCTTTTGGGTAGCCCTTGGGGCCATCGCGGGGATCATGCAGGGATCACGAGGTTCTCTTTGGATCGTCCTGGGGTCATCGTCGGGTCGCCTTGAGGCCATCCTGGAGCCATCTTGGGTTCGTGGAGTCGCTTTGGCATCGTGTCGGGGTTGTCTGGAGGATTGGCTAATTTCCAAGGACTGTTTTTTTTTATCCTGGTCATGTATTCCTCCTCCACCTCCAATTTCCTCCCTTATCCCTCCGCTGCCCTCTGGCCCAGCATGGACCATGTTGGGGCATGCAGGGTCGTTCCTGATATATGTTAGGGCTTATGTCGGCCTGTTCAGGTTCTTGCGGTAGAGTTCCTCTAGGACCTTGCCTGCCTTGTTCCTCTTCCTCTTCCTCCTCCTCCGCCGGGGTCCGCGGTGAGCGCAAGGCCGTCTGCGACGCTCTGAAGAAGCAGGCTGGGCGCCCGCGCGACCTTCCTCTCGACGCGTGGTAGACTGGTCTGGCCATCAAGCGCTAGTGGCGCGGCAGCAGGCAAGAGTGCATCATGCATCGCAGGGGGAGGGAGGGAGGGAGGGATGGAGGTAGGGAGGGAGGGAGAGAGGGAGGAAGGTATGGAGGAAGAGGAGGGCGGAGGAGGCGGAGCAGGAGGAAGAGGAGGAGGAGGAGGAGGAGGGGAGGAGGAGGAGGAGGAGGAGGAGGAGGAGGAGGAGGAGGAGGAGAAGGAGGAGGAGTATGGAGGAGGAGGAGGAGGAGGAGGAGGAGGAGGAGGAGGAGGAGGGAGGAGGAGGAGGAGGAGGAGGAGGAGGAGGAGAAGGAGGAGGAGGAGGAGGAGGAGGAGAGGGAGGAGGAGGAGGAGGAGGAGGATGAGGAGGAGGAGGAGGAGGAGGAGGAGGAGGAGGAGGAGAAGGGTGAAGAGAGGCGCGATCCACTGTTCAGGGGCCTCGGAGACGCCTGTGCCTCGGAAGAGGCAGGGGCTCCGAGAGACGGTGCCGCCCGTCCCGCCTTCCTCAGGGGAAGGGGGGGAAGCGGGTAGACTCCGCCGGGCGGGAAGGACAGCGCGCACCCCGCTCCTCATGGTGCAGAGCGCGGCGATCGCCACGAATGAAACGGGGCCGTGAGGCAACCGTGTCCTCGTTATATTTTCTCGCCCTCTGCGGGCTCGGGGCCCTCCGCCCCAGGACCCTCCAAAAGCTATACTCGGGAGGGAGAGCCGGTCCCCAGGGAGGGCCCCGGGGTCCGGGACCCGTCCGCATCAGTACCCTCTCCGCCGCGCCAAGAGGACGTTTGAGCCCGGGAGGGTACACGCCGCAAGCCGCAAGCTGCGCGCTGGTGGGCAGGCGAAGCGCTTCCTCATTCAGGGCGACGAGATGAGCCTCGACACTGGCGGGCTGGGGGGGGGGAGCGGCGCGCGGTACTCGCGCGAGCTCACAAAGCTGATCTGGAGGAGAGGGAGGAGGAGGACGACGATGATGGCTACGATAGTCTCGAAGGGCGCCTGGAACCGACGGCTTTAGGGCTCGAGTTGACCTCTTCTGTGCGCGGAACCTTGCCCGAGATCCGAGTCGAACGAAAGCCGTCTCGTGGATGCCCTGCCTGGCGCATGAGGGCCACCTGTGCCCGCAGAGAGGGCGCCGAGTCTAGACAAGCAGCGTGCAAGAGGAAACATGATCGTATAGACTCGCGCCAAGCTTCCAACCATGTGCACCCAGCAAGCATGCCATGTATCTACGGCTAGAGCAAGGCCTTCATGTTTTTTCCAGCAGAGAAAGCCCACGGCACAAACGCCATATCTTACCATGGGCAAGACCATGCCATCATACCAGGGGGGGGGGGAGGAGCGGGCCTGGCGGCCTGGCGTCCATTGGATTTCCCGAAGTCGGCAATGATGCTCCAACATTTGAGTCTGCCTCTCAGCTGGCACTCCGAAGGGACCTCGCAATCTTTTAGGCTGGCTTGCACAGTGCAGGCGCATCTCGACTGCTCATGTTTATAAATGCATATATGTATACAGATATAGTCACATATGCACATGTGATGTTGGCCAGCGTTGGCCCAAAACAGCGGGTTATCGCACACGGGCAAGCACGGAACCGTACTTGTTGTGGTCGTAGTATTAGGAATTGAGTGGTTCGCAAGGGCGCGCTGGTTTTTGCATGCTTTCGGAATGCGCTCGTGGAGGCGCGCGCGTCTTGCCTGCACTGTCTTATTCCACACTTATGGCAGGATACCTACAGTTCTCTGATGATTTCAGTGAGTGCGCGCAGGGGCATGCCATGCGCGCAGCATGTGACATGCTCTATGCTAAACTGCTTCGAGAACCAACGACTTTGTAATCAGTTCGGCATGCGCTCGCGGGGTCGCGCTCGGGTGGCACGCATGGCAATATCCGACAAGGATTCTTACAGCACGCGCTGGTTAGATTCGCACTAGCGCGTCTCAGTGTTTGTTTGCCATGTATGACGGGCAACCAATGCCAGCCTGGTTGGGATGGTACGACTTCGCATGTAAGATTAATGACCGTGCATACGGAATATGATGCGGCGGTGTGCCGAGGGGTACCTCTACGTCCGGCTTCGGTATGGGGGCAGGCTTACCGTTCTCTGAGGCGAAGGACTCCATGGGATGCTACCAGAGGGCGCCAAACGTTGGGCACCAGGGCGGAGCCATGAATTCGCAACAGCCCGTAAGGCACATACCATAGGGCATTAACCATAGGCCACGAGGGCTGGCACCAGAACGTCGCACCAACCAGCGCACCATAGTGCAACAACTAAAAGGGCACCAACCGTAGGGCACCAGGTCGGCCAACAGAAATGAACAAATTCCTTTCGACCGCAAGTAAGGATCCCTAGGTACAAACGCTGTTGGAGGAATGAGGCCGATACATATTATCGGCGGCCAGGTTCTGGGCAGCTTGTAGCCACGTTGTAGTGATGCTGCCTGGGGTTGGTTGGCCAGGCCATCCTCGTCCGACTTTGCCCATGGCCTCCCCAGGATCCCGCGCGAGCGTCCAAGCACTCCTCACTCCCAGAAGCTCCACAGGCTTGCATCAATCGGCCTGGGGGGTGGGGAGCCGGTGTTCAGTTGGACTTCGGGTTGCCCTGCCCTGGGCCTTCTGTAGCCGTCTGGCCTTGGGCCACTACCAGCACCGGCTCCAGGCGAAATTCTCAGCTGGAGAAGGGAGGATCGGGGGCGGCAAAGAGGGGGGTGATGACTAGGGGGCGGTTGGATATCATGGTGCGGGCCATGATATTTCCTCAGATTTCATGGCGCCTCGTCCTATTCCGTTACGTCCCCAGCCCCCCTCCCCCGGCCGCGCACATGCCGCCCGTCATGATTTGCACCCCCCCCTCTTGGACGCCCCCCTTTTGGCCGCCCCCGAAAGGGAGGGGGGAGGAGGGACGGGTGGAGGCTTTGGCATCCCGATGTCGGTCTGCCTTCCGCGCGCCAAGCCGAGGGCCCAGCGAGCCTCGGCCGAGCGCCCACGGTTCCGCGCCCGGCCGTGGCGCCGGGCGGCGCGGCGGCGGCGGCGCGACGGGAGAGAGCGAGGCGCTGCGGCCACCCGAGGGTCAGAGCGTGAATTGCCAACCCCGCCTTCGCTTCCAGGCGAAACCAAGTCATACCACGCGTCTCTTTGTCAAGCGGCCCGACCAGTCCAGGCCGCAGTTTGGCATCGCTCGGTATCTCTCGGAAGCGAGGGTGGTCCAAAGCGAGGTGGGTCTGCTCTCCCCCTAGAGGGGAGGGAGGGTGGACGGGGCCGAGGTGGTGGCGGGGTGTGGGGAGGGAGGAGCGGTGGGTGCCTTGACTTCAGCATGTCGAGCGCATGCGGTGGCGGCCCCGGCCACCCGGCGTCGGCACCGTGGCACAGCGGGCCGATCCAGCGGTGCCCCAGGCACGTCCCGCGGTCGCCTGCTGCGCTCGCGCGTGCACGTGCCCGTGTGCTTCGCGTGGCCCCGCACGCCTCGATGGCAGCCTCGGCTGCCCTGGCTCGGTCGTCTGGGCGCTCTTGGGGGTGTTGGCACAGTGTGGCACACGGGGGAGCTGTGATGCAGAAGTGGGCTCGGAATGGGAGGCGTCGGCGTGTTCATCACCATGAACCCGGGCTACCTGGGGCGCTCCGAGCTCCCGGAGGGCCTCAAGGCGGCCCACCCGTGCGGCCCGACTGTGCACCCCAGCGCCCTGGGGCTGCAGAGGGTAATGGTGTCCTACCCGCCAGGTGCCGTTTTGCGAAGGAGTCGTCCCCTCAGCTGGAAGGAGTCGACCTGAACATTTCTTCCCAGAGGGCGCCTACAGAAGGTCCTCGAACGTCGGTGGGAAGAGCGAGACGAGATGTTGTTGTGAAGTGCGCGGGGAAGAGGCTCACGGGAGAGGTAAATGTTGGCCTCGAGATGATTGCAGATCCGTGGTTGGAGTGCAAGGGAAAGGATGGGCAGGGAGAGGATTGTCTGAGGATTGCTGGCTCAGGACGAGCCCCAGGAGAGACCGGACCCTAGCGTATCCATGAGTTTGTGGGGGCGGCTCCACGGATCAACCGAGGCTACTACCACCCTGGCTATTTGTTTCTTGCGTGGCTGTGTTATCGAATACTCCTGCGGCGAACCACCGTCGCCCTCTGCCTTTTGGAATCACCTATGTGGCTAAACATTGGGCCGAAGTCTTGCCAAGCTATTGGGCAGTGTGCTCCCCAAGCCGTTGTGGAAACCTGTCGGAGAACACCTGGGGGAGAAAGAGATGAGAAGAGGGAGGAGCAGGAGGAGGAGGAGGAGGAGGAGGAGGACGAGGAGGAGGCGGAGGAGGAGGACGAGGAGGAGGAGAAGGAGGAGGAGGAGGAGGAGGAGGGGGATGAGGATGAAGAGGGGGATGAGGATGAAGAGGATGAAGCGGATACCTCTTCAGGGCTTCTTGAGGACCTCGTAAGGGCTGCCTGGGGTCCTCTTGGGGGGCCTCTGATGGACTCTTCGGGAACCTCCTGGGTTTTTTTGGGAGCCTCTCAGAGACTTCTGAGAGCCAAGGAGAGGCAGCTTAGTCTTCGGAGGCGAGGCCGTCTTGGGGCCATCTAGGGACGCTTTCGGGCCGTTTTGGATCTCTGTGGGGCTGTCTTAAGGGCCCTCTCAGGGCCGTCTTGGGAGCCTCAGGTGGCAGTTTCAAGACGGTCGGCGCAAGGCCCATGAGACGCCCAAGGCGGTCGAAGATGGTTGCACGTTGCCCTTGACCCCCGCCAGACGCCCGAAGACGGCTCGAATGTCACCCCCACGAGGCGTTCGACCCTAAAGATGTGTTGATTTTGCATTGCTTTTCGTTTGATGTTCGGATGCTCGCTCCCTCGGGCCTCCAGGCGTCCGAGAGCTCTGGAGGATCACTAAGGTCCGCAGCGAGACGGCGCGAGCACGGCCGCGTGAGGGCCCGGGACGGCCGCCAGACTGCCCACAGGCGCCCCCACGACTGGCCCAAGAGGATTGCAAGACGACCGGCGCAAGGCCCAAGAGACTTCCAAAGCTCGGGCGAAGAGAACTATGCACATGCACCGATCCTGACAACGTCCATCCTTGACCCAGGATCGGTGCATATACCTTCCCTCGCCAAGGTAAGAGGGCGTGTGCACCGATCCTGGGTTCAGGGTGGGCCTGGCCAGAATCGGTGTATGTGCATAGTTCTCTGTCCTCTAAAAACGATCGAAGATGGCATCAAGCGGCCCAGACCACCGCTGGACGCCCGAAGACGGTCCGAGTGTCACCTGGAGGAGGCGCTCGGGATTTGGAAAAACATGGATGTGCCATTGTTTTTCGTATGATTTTCGGGTACTCGCTCACTCAGGCCTCCAAGCGTCCGAGAACGCTGGAGGGGTGCCGGAAAGCGCTCCAAGACGAGCCAAACGCGCTTCCTGTCACCCAAGCACGGTCACATGACTGCCCAAGACGGCCGCCAAACTGCCCACAGGCGGCCCCCATGACTGGCCCCAAATGATTGCAAAACAACCGACGCAAGGCCCAACAGACTTCTAAAACGATCGAAGATGGCATCAAGCGGCCCAGACCACCGCTGGACGCTCGAAGACGGCCCGAATGTCATGTGGAAGAGGTGATCAAAACTTTGGAAAACATTGAGTTTTCGAAGGTTTTTTCCGGCGGAGCCTGGTGAAATTCAGTGCCCGCCAGTGACTGACTCACTGACTGATTGACTAGCTGAACGTCAGGAGAGCAACTCTGACAACGCATTTCAAGCCGCCCGCGGGAGCGCGCAACCGTAACCAGGCGACACATTTCAACCCGCCCGCGCGCGTGAACGCAACCGCGACCAGGGGACACATTTCAACCCGGCCGCGCAACCGCAACCGCAACCGCAACCAGGCGACACATTTCAACCAGCCCGCGCGCGCAACCGCAACCGCAACCAGGCGACACATTTCAACCCAGCCGGGCGACATGTATCAACCCGGCCGCGCAACCGCGTCCGCAACCGTTACCAGGCGACACATTTCAATTTGCCCGCGCGCGTAGTCGCAACCGCAACCAGGCGACACATTTCAACCTGGCCAGGCGCCACATTTCAATCTGGCCGCGCAACCGCAACCGCAACCAGGCGACAAATTCCAACCAGTCCGCGCAATCGCAACCGCAACCGCAACCGCAACCAGGCGCCACATGTCAACCCGCGCGCGCAACCGCAACCGCAACCGCAACCAGGCGACACACTTCAACACACCCGCGCGCGTAATTGCAACCGCGACCAGGGGACACATGTCAACCCGGCAACGCAACCGCAACCGCAACCGCAACCAGGCGACACATTTCAACCAGCCCGCGCGCGCAACCGCAACCGCAACCAGGCGACACATTTCAACCCAGCCGGGCGACACATCTCAACCCGGCCGAGCAACCGCAACAGCAATCGCAACCAGGCGACACATTTCAATTTGCCCGCGCGCATAATCGCAACCGCGACCAGGGGACACATGTCAACCTGGCCGGGCGACACATATCAACCTGGCCGCGCAACCGCAACCGCAGCCGCAACCGGGCGACATATATCAACCCGGCCGAGCAACCGCAACCGCAACCGCAACCGCAACCAGGCGCCACATGTCAACCCGCGCGCGCGACCGCAACCGCAACTGCAACCAAGCGACACGTTTCAACCCGCCCGCGCAACCGTAACTGCAACCGCAACCAGGCGACACATGTCAACCCGCCCGCGCGACCGCAACCGCAACCGCAACCGCAACCGCAACCGCAACCAGGCGACACATTTCAACCCGCCCGCGCGACCGCAACCGCAAGCGCAACCAGGCGACACATGTCAACCCGCCCGCTCAACCGCAACCGCAACCGCAACCAGGCGACACATATCAACCCGCCCGCGCGACCGCAACCGCAACCGCAGCCAGGCGACACATTTCAACGGGGCCGCGCAACCGCCCGCAACCGGGCGACACACTTCAACGGGGCCGCGCAACCGCCCGCAACCGGGCGACACATTTCAATTTGCCCGCGCAACCGCAACCGCAACCAGGCGACACGTTTCAGCCCAGCCGCGGGCGCGTACAGCCGCAACCGCCCGTCGCCGGCGCGTGCTCGGCGCCCCCACCGCGCGTCCGAGGTGCCCGCCCTGCGGCGTTCTCGGGCTGCACGAGAGGGACGGGGAGGACGAAGAGGACGCTGAGCAGGAGTAGGAGGTTGAGGAGGAGCAGGAGGAGAAGGAGGAGAGGGGGAGGAGGAGGAGGAGGTCGAGGAGGACGAGGACGAGGAGGAGGGAGGAGGATTAGGAGGAGGCGGAGGAGGAGGAGGAGGAGGAGGAGGAGGATGAGGAGGAGGAGGAGGGAGGAGGCACAAGAGGAGAACGATGGGGGGGGGAGGAGGGGGGCCATGAAAGCGAGAAGGAGGAGGAGGAGGAGGAGGAGGAGGAGGAGGAGGGGAGGAGAAGGATGATGTGGTGCAGGAGCAGGGGGCGAGGAGGAGGAGGGGGAGGAGGACGAGGAGGAGGGAAGGGGGGAGGAGGAGGAGGAGGAGGAGGAGGAGGAGGAGGAGGACGGGCAGGCTGGCCAAGAGGAGGAGGACGATGCGCAGGGGGATGCATGGGTGCGGATGCTCGAGGAGGTGCAGGAGCAGGTGCCACCGGTGGAGGACGACCAGTGGCACGATTGGAGGATGGAGGGCCAGCAACCATGAGGAGGAGGAAGAGGAGGAGGAGGAGGAGGAGGAGGAGGAGGCCGATGAGGAGGAAAATGCAGTGGAGGCGGGGGGCGCAGGAGGCGGTGGCAGCTCACCATCAGCAACATGGGAAGGATGAGGACGAGGAGGATTGGGAGGAGTTGGAGGAGGAGGAGGAGGAGGAGGAGGAAAGAGGGGGACGTGTATGAGGATTTGGGCGTAATTGGAGGTGGATGTCCTGCTCGCGACCTCCAGGCGGTCCCCGCGGTTCTCCGCCGGGACATTGCAGCGTGGAGTCCCCATTCCACGCTGCTGCCTTTGATTTGAATGTTCGGATACTCGCTCATTCAGGCTTCCAAGCGTCCGAGATCGCTGGAAAAACACCGAAAACCGCTCCTCCTGACAGCCCAAGAGGGGCCCATGAGTGCCTAACAGGGCCCCCAAACTGCTCACGGACGGCCTCACCACGGCCCCAAAGTGTCTTCAAGACAACTTCCCCAATAATGCAACACGTGATCTGGCACCACGACTCCCAGTATGGTGGCTCGAGGACCTCCCCACTGGTCGTCGAAAGGCGCCACGGCCGCTTCCAGAGGCCCCCAAGGAGCCCTAACAATGCTTCCGCGAAACTCTCCAGAGATTCGCCACGAAGGAGCTTCCGCGAACGAATCAGAAGTGGACGAAGAAGCCTTCGTATGCCAATTTATTCGAGAATGAGGAAGAGAAAATGGACGGAGACAAAAATAAGGAAGGGATCACTACGAACAATGTAACCACGGTGATGGCGACATCGGCCACCAGAAACGATTTCTGTCTTGATCGGCTTACCTCTGTCAGTCTGTGTGCGCCATCCACTTATCGGACCAAGGTGCATGGCGCGAAGCGCCAATGCAGTCTTGTTGATATATTTATATGTATATATATATATGCATATGTACATCTATAGACATAAATGGTTATATACACAGCATGCGTGTCCACACCTTTGTAGTTCGGACGGCGCTCCATACCAGCCTTCCCAGAGTCTTCCGTAGCCAGTGCGGCCCGAGCGGCTCGCGGCTCGGAGCTCTGGCCGATGGCACGCGGAGCTGGCTCGAGGGCGGCGTGCGGGACTCGGCATGGCGCTGGCTGCCCTGTGGTCGTGGCTGTCGAGGAGCGACGGGGGCCACCGAGAGGGCGACGACGTCGACGAGTGCGTGAGGCGGGTCATCTCGACGGACACCTTCCCTGCCGACACGGAGGAGCTGCTCGACGCGAGGCGGCAGAAGTGGGCCTCCCTGCTCCGCAGCTTCCAGGCGTACGGCGCCTTCAGCACCGGCAACGGCGTGCGCGTGCTCGAGGGCGGAGACGCGTGCTTCGAGGAGATGCTGGCGGCGATCGGGGGGGCGACGACGCGGGTGTGGTGCGAGAGCTACATCTTCGACAACAGCCCCGTTGCGCGCCAGTTTGTGGATGCGCTAGCTGCCGCTGCGCGGCGCGGTTGCGACGTCATCCTGCTCGTGGACTACATCGGGTCGTTCTCACTCAATTCGGAGTGGATCGCGGAGCTGCGGCGCGACGGCGCCAGATTCGCCTTCTTCAATCCGGTGCTTCCGTCGAGCGCGTGCGTGGGACCGATATCTTTCAGGGACCACCGCAAGATCATGATATGTGACGAGGCAGGCTTTTGTGGGGGCATGAACATCCACGAGGAGGTCGGGGAAGACCGCTTCGGCACAAGCAAATTCTACGACGTCCACGTCAGGCTGGAGGGACCTTGCGTGGCAGACCTGGCGGATGTGCTGAGGGACTCGTTGCAGGAGACTGGCAGCTCGATCGTCCCACAGCCGCTGCCACGGCCGCCGCAGGTAGACGGCGGGGTGTACGTGCAAGTGCTGCAGTCCAACGTGCGCCAGCAGCGACGTACCCTGCAGAAGGTGATCACAGGCGCCATCGACGCAGCCGACGATAGCGTGTACCTGACCACAGCATACTTCTTTCCCCCCGGCTTCCTCAGGAGAGCTCTGCTCCGGGCGCCTGCCAGGGGCGCCTCGCTGTCCATTTTGCTGTCTGGCTCTTCGGACTTCTACCCGCTGCCCGGAGACTTGCTGGCGCAGACCCATTTCTTGCGCCGCTTTTTGCGGGAGACGAAAACGCACACGCACAAGGTATCCGTGCACCTCTACGAAGAGCGCCACATGCACGCCAAGCACATGAGCGTTGACGGCGTCTTCTCCACCATAGGCTCGTTCAACTTCGACCTCTACTCCGCCCGGCGGAATCTTGAGGTCGGCGTGTCGGTGTTCGACCACAGGTTCGCCCGCGACGTACAGGCCATCCACTTGAAAAAGGTGCGTGAGTCACGGAGGACTATGCTTAAGTCGGGCCTGTCCTGCTACAGGAGGAATCGCCAAACATACAAAAAAAAAATAGTCTGGGGACCATTTTTTGAATTTGTTTTGACCATTTGGGGGGATTTGTTGGGTATTTTGTATGTTTCGTCGAAGTCCCCCTTTAGGGGGACACGCCCGACTTAAGACTATGCTGAGCGACTGGACCTACGAGCATCCGTTGGTGCGTTTCGCCTGCCTCGCGGCCTACGGCTGCGTGAGGCTCTCCGGGAGGAACTGCTTCGACGGCCTCGACTGCTTCCAGAAGAAGTGGCTCGTGCGGAAGGCCTCTCTGACATATCTACTGGAGGAGCAGGCAGCGCAGTTTGTGGCCACCTCGATGATGTGGGGTCTCGAATAACCAGGGTCGCTCGTGTGGCCATGCGCTGCGTAACAAAAAACATCCGCATTTCCAGAGGCTTCGGGCCAGCCCTTCTCGCAGCAGTTTTAGGGGTCGATGCTCCCCCTGATATTGCCTGCCTCATCCTGCATGGACTAAGAGTTTTCAGGAGTGTCATGGAGGCCCCAGGAGGCCCTGGGATCGTTTCCCTCATGCTCAGATGTATGCCTATGTTCACCAGTTCACGTTCAAACCCGCTCATACTCAGACTCACTCATAGCCAGTCGCCCAGCTTCAGACTCACTCATGTTCAGACCCTCTCATAAACAGCTCCTCGCACTCGGACGTGCACGCTCACACCCATCATTACCCATACTGGTTAATACTCAGAACCGCCATAGTCAGCCGCTGATGCTGAGATCTATTCACACCCATGCTCGCTCGCACGTAAACCCACCAATGTCCAAACCTGAATCAAGCCTAGACGTTATATGTACCCACTCATACTCGTACTCGCTCGTACGCGTAGCCACTCATACTCAGGCCCAGTCCCTCCCAGATCCACGCATACTCGGTTATTCATTCCCAGACTCGCTCGCACTCGTATTCAATCTTACTCAGACGCTTGGGTAAGAAAGCGCTAGCCAACAGAGAGATACGCACTTATGGGGACTCCGCATCGGCACCGATCAACCGCAGGAGGATGAGGTCAGAACTTGCAGACGGAGCGGGGGAGGAGGAGCTGGACGAGAAGGATGATGAGGGGAGGCCTGCAGTTTTCAGGGGATGGAGTCGGACGAGGGTGAGGTGGCGGAGAGGGAGGGAGGGGGTGGTGGTGTCGAATGCATGTGCACAATTATATAGTCATATACATCTTCATATATGCACACGGGTATATGCATGTCCGTGTGCATAGGTATTTATCGGCTAGCATGTGTGGACGCACGTGTATGTATATGTACACGGGAGTTTACATACATATACACATAGATGTAACCATAGATGAGCAGGTACACGCACGTACATGCGCATCGATGTATTAATGTGTGTGCACTGTCTTTTTATATGTCTATATGTGTGTATATGTATATATATATATATATATATATATATATATGTGTGTGTATGTGTGTATACAGCACACCAAACGGAGAGCGAGGAGGGATGCACGGTGAGGGGAGTGGGCGGGCTGCGAGGATGAGTCCGAGGGTGACGGGGAGGTTGACGGTGATGGTGAGAATGATTGGGATGATGATGATGATGAGGAGGAGGAGGAGGAGAAGGATGAGGACGTCCCGATTGCTCAGGCAGGGATCGATCGTGACAACATTGATGGCGCTGATGATGATCTACGCAGTTAGCGATGGTGACGGTTTTCAAGTGAACGGCGATGATCATGATGATCGTGAGTGTTGCATGGGTTCGGTTTCAATGCCGATTGCGATGATGATTCTTGCCGTGGCATCGTTGACGGCGGTGACGTTGATGAGTCCCGCGCGTTTTCCTTTTATTCAGACGGGTCCTCCACTCTGCCCTCCCATCCCTTCCCTCTTCTCCGCTAATATCCGAGGCCCTCCCCTCACCTCTTCGCGTCTCTTCTCTTACCTTCTCTTTTCTTCTCTTCTTTTCTCTTCTCTTCTCTTCTCTTCTCTTCTCTTCTCTTCTCTTCTCTTCTCTTCTCTTCTCTTCTGTGTTATTATCTTATTATCTTCTCTTCTCTTCTCTTCTCTTCTCTTCTCTTCTCTTCTCTTCTCTTCTCTTCTCTTCTCTTCTCTTCTATTCTCTCTCTTTGTCTCACCTTTTCAATCCTGCTCCCCTTTCCTCCTCTCCATCCCTCTTCTCCTTCTCTCTTCTCATCTCATCTCTTCTTTTGCTCTGTTCCCTTCCCCCTCTCCTCCCAGGCCCTTCCTCCTAGGTTCGCCGAATGTTTTCAGTGCGGCCCCGTAGGCGTTGTTCCGCCCCATCACCGTGATGGTGCCCGACTTCATGCTCATCATGGAGAACATGTTCATGGGCGAGGGCTTTCTCTCTGCCAAGGATCACTCGGATGAGGATGAGGATGAGAAGGAGGACGAGCAGGGCTGGACGGCAAGCAAGCCAGAGATCCTGGCGTTGCACTTTTTTTCGAGCCGGGTTTCGCTCTTTTTCGGGCCCAGGGATCCTCGCAGATCGATCCGGTTTGAAAAATGACGCAGAAAAACGGGGTCTAGGGTTCCGGGCGTGATTCTTCACGATGCTGCAATCTTGTCGCTACGTCGGACCTCAGGTAGGGCCGCCCCTTGCCTATTCCTTGCCTGCCAGCATGCCAGGGCTGCACCGCAGAGCCCCCGCTTTAGACAGGCACTCTCTGGGACAGTGGAAGGTCGCTCGGGGGGAATACAGTCGGGGCCCTGAAGAAGGAACCCTTTTCGTTGGGGAGGGGCTCCGTGTTCCTTAATTGTTTCGCAGCTTGCCTTGGATTTTCCTTAGGTTTTCGATACGAAATCGAGGTCCAACTTATGGGAAATAGAGGGGCCTCGTTCCTTATTTAGGGTTCCTTAGGTCAACGCCTCGACTGTATGGGGGAAGGGGGGGGATCGGACGCGGACTCGTCGGAGGAGGGGAACGTGTGGCTGACCAGCGAAAGGGAGGAGGAAGGCGAGGAGGGGACGGAGATGATGATGCTGCTGGTGCTGCTGGTGCTGATGCTGATGATGGTGGCAGTGATGATGATGGTGGTGGTGATAGTGATGGTGATGATGCTGCCGATGGTGATGATGGTGATCAGGATGATGATGCTGATGATGCTGATGATGCTGATGATGATGATGATGATGATGATTGTGATGCTGATGATGGTGGTGGTGGTGGCGGTGATGCTGGTGATGCTGTTGCTGCTGATGATGTTGATGATGATGCTGCTGCTGTTGATGATGAAGATGGTCACGATGATGAGGATAATGGTGATGCTGCTGCTGATGATGACGGTGATAGTAGTGGTGGTGAGGGTGATACTGCTGCTGCGGACGATGATGAGGATGGTGGTGGTGGTTGTGGTGATGATGATGAGGAGGAGGAGGAGGAGGAGGAGGAGGAGGAGGAGGAAGAGGAGAGTGACGGAGACGGGGGGGACGACGCGGATGGGCGGGAGCTGTCCAGGAGCTGGCGCTGAAGTTCGCCACGCTCTACGCGCTGAACAAGGACCTCCTCTCGAAGTCGAACAAGTACGACTGGGGTGCGGCGGCAGGGGAACCGTCGATGTCGTTGTCGTTGTCTGGGGGAGGGCGGGGGAGGGAGGGTGGGGAGGAGGAGGACGCGGGGGTAACTGGGATGAGGGGGTGAGACGCCGGGGTGAGACGAGGGGGATGGCAAGGTTGGGGGTCGGCGGGCAGAGGTGGGAGGGAGCAGGAGTGGTGGCGAGGAGTCGAGGAGGAGAAGGAAGAGGAGGAAGTGGATGAGGATGAGGAGGGGGAGGGAGAGGGGAAGGACGAGGGGCAGAGGAAGAGGATAGCGATGATGCTGCTGACGATGATGGTGATGGTGATGGTGATGACGACGACGATGATGCTGCTGCTGATGATGATGCTGGTGGTGATGGTGATGATGATGATGATGATGATGATGATGATGATGATGATGATGATGATGATGATAGTGGTGATAGTGGCCGTGATGATGGTGGTGATGATGCTGCTGCTGCTGATTATGATGGTAGTGAGTGATGATGTCGGTGATAGTGGCCACGATTATGCTGACGATGCTGATGAGGACGATGATGATGATGACGATGATGCTGATGATGAAGATGATGATGCTGATACCTAATGATGGTAGTGGTGATGATGATGAAGATGATGATGGTGATGATGATGATGCTGCTTGTGACGAAAGTGGTGAACCTGAAGAAAAAGATATTGGTGATGATGGCGCTGATGATGATGCTTATGACGATGACGTTGACGATGGCGATGATGCTGCTGATGACGATGCTGAAGAGTATGCTGCTGCTGAGGATGCTGATGGTGATAATGCTGATGATGATGATGATCGTGGTGAACGGCTGCTGGTGATGATTCTGTCGCAAATGACGATTGTGCTGATGCTGATGCTGCTGCTGCTGCTGATGCTGGTGGTGAAGAAGATGAAGATGAGGATATAGATGCAGATGCAGATGAAGATGATGATGACGCTGAAGATGAATCTGACGATGAAGTTGATGATGACGCTGCTGCTGCTGATGATGATTCTGATTATGGTGATGATGATGATGATGATGATGATGATGATGATGATGATGATGCTGATGATGATGCTGCTGATGATGATGATGATGAAATGACGGTGGTGATGAATGATGATGCCAATGATGACGATAATGATGATGCTGCTGATGATGACGATGATCATGGTGATGATGCTGCTGATGACGACGGTGATGACGATGATAACAACGAGGATGGATGAGTAGGATGATGGGGATTTGAGGATGATGATGATGATGAGGACGGCGATGATGATGACGATTCGGATGATGATGATACTGATTATGTTGATGATGCCGCTGATGACGATGATGATGACGCTGAAGATGAGACTGATGATGATCATGCTGATGCTGATGAGTATGCCGATTCTGCAGATGATGATGATGATGATTCTGATGGTAATGCTGATGCTGATGATGGTGCTGCTGATGCTCATGATAATGCTGACGATTCTGATGATGCTGATGATGATGTTGCTGCTGATAATGATGATGATGCTGATGCTACCAGTGGTGATGTTAATACTGATGCGACCAGTGCTGGTGTTGACCGTGCTGGTGATGATGAGGATTATGATGCTGATGTGTTTCACTTTGATGCAGATGACGCCGATCATGGTGATGATGAGGATGCTGATGCCGATGATGATTCTGCTGGTTATGCTGCTGATGATGATGCTGATGATGATGATGATGATGATGATGATGATGATGATGATGCTGATGATGATGATGATGATGATGATGGTGATAGGAGGATGAGAAGGAGGTGGAGGAGGAGAAGGAGGACGAGGAGGAGGAGGAGAGGAGGAGGTGGAAGAGGAGGAGGAGGAGGAGGAGGAGGAGAGACTGAGGATGAGGATGATAATGAGGATGATAAGGAGGCGGAGGATAATGAGGAGGAGGAGAGGAGGAGGGAGGAGGAGGAGGAGGAGGAGGAGGAGGAGGAGGAGGAGGAGGAGGGGGAGAGAAGGAAGGAGGAGAGGAAGAGGAGGAGCCGGGGGGGAGAGGAGGAGGAGGAGGAGGAGGAGGAGGAGGAGGACGAGGAGGAGGGGAGGAGGTGGAAGAGGAGGAGGAGGAGGAGGAGGAGGAGGAGGAGGAGACTGAGGATGAGCATGAGGATGAGGATGATAAGGAGGCGGAGGATAATGAGGAGGAGAGAAGAGGAGGAGGAGGGAGGAGGAGGAGGAGGAGGAGGAGGAGGAGGAGAGGAGGGGAGAGAAGGAGAAAGAGGAGGAGAAGAGGAGGAGGAGAGGAGGAGGA